ATGGCCTTAGGAATCACACAGACTACAACCCCGAATCAGAAAAAGTTGGGATGGTATGTTAAATCAAAATTAAAACTGAAAATAATTTGTAAATCATCTGTGTCCTGTATTACATTGAAAACAATAGGGCAGCACACTATTTGATGCGATACCTCACCAGTTTCTTTTCTTTGTTCAAAATAAACACTCACCTCAATTCTGATGCCTGCAGCACTTTCCAAAAAAAGTGTGATGTTGCCGTTCCTTTTCACAACACTTAAAAGACATTTAGGGACTGACGGCACCAAGTGTGTCAGGTGGGAACTTTGTCCCATTCCTCCTGAAAACAAGCCTTAAGGTGTGCAACAGTCCTCCTGGGTCTTGGCACAATTTGCGTTTCAAAATACAGCACACACAGTTTTAAGTGGCATTTATGGATGTAACTACGTATTGTAGTGCCTGACACAGGTGTGCCAAAGTAATCCTGAGCCCTTGTGGTTACATCGTTTATAGAAGATGCATTGCCGTCTGAGGGATCGGAGAGCACAGTCATCCAGCTTAGGCTTGTGCTCTTGCCGTTTGCGCACTAAAATCCCTCCAGATTCCTTGAATCTTTTAATTATGTTATGCACCGTAGAGGGTGACATATCCAAATCCTTTCCTCTCTTTCTTTGAGGAACATTGTTTTTAAACATTTCAATAACTTTGCCATGCATATGTTGGCAAACTGGCGATCCTTGACCTATCTTTGCTCCTAAAGGGCTCGGCCTAGGTACCAAATCATGATTGCAATCTGTTGACATCACCTGTTTCAAATGGATTCATCATTTCATAGTTGTACCTCATTACTAGACCTGAAATGCAACCGTCCTGACTTTTTTTTGGAATATGTTGTAGGCATAATAATGGAAATGAGTGTTTATTTTGAACAAAGCATAAAATTGATGAGGTATCACATCAAATAATGTGCAGCTGTATTGTTTTACAGGGCACAGATGATTTATAAATGACTATTTAAAGTTTTAATTTAGATTTTACATACTGCCACCTTTTTTTAGGTTGTAATTATTTAATCAATATCTGTGATATTTATGTCTTAATTGGTCCTCTCTACTAGTTCCTATTAACCCTATATATTCCAAGAGTTTTCTGTGAAGAGGAGGATGAGCAGTTATTGTTGTTTTTACTCAATTTCCAAATGTCTTTTATTATTATCAGAAAATGTTGGTCTGAATTAATCACCACAAAGAAATGTTTGCACCAGAAAGGAAAAAGAGTGACAGGAGAGTATTGAAACATTAATTTGATCTCATTCCCAGGTCTGATGTGAATTTATGTTTATACTATTCTTTGCATGGCATTTTGGAAATATTTTGGAAATATTAATCACAGCACAGATTATTTGTATGGTTTCAAATGGACCTCTGTAATATAAGAAATATTTAATTGTAATAAATAATATATGAGTTTGAACCTGTCTGAGCAATCTTTTTTTCTTAAGCCAAGCTGATAGCTGTAGTTACATATGTTGCCCACATGGTGGCTGACTGGCAATATTTTTATATCTTAGTTTATCAAATAATAAATAGCTAAAAATAATGTATAAATTGCCACTTAAAGTGGTAGGTTAGTACTACAAATGCATACTTAATTAAACCAACCATTAATTATATGCAAAAATGTCAAGTTTCAAATTTCAGTTTAAATGAATGTATTTGGAACATGAATGATGGTGAAAAGTACTTGAGGTCATATGACCGAAGTGTGACAACAGGTGGGATCCACTGTTTCTAATTATCCTTTCACAAACCAGGCTGTTAAGCTGTAAATGGTCTTATATTTGTATAGCACCTTTCTATGCTTTTACAGCACACTCAAAGCGCTTTCACATTATTCGGCCATTCACCCATTTGCACTCATCACCGGGAGCAACTGGGGGTTCAGTGTCTTGCTCAAGGACACCTTGACATGTTGACTGGACAAGCCGGGAATCGAACACCTAATCCTCCGGTTAGGAAACGACCCGCTCTACCTCCTGAGCCACAGCCGCTGTAAGTGAATGACAACAGCCATTTACTGTGGTGTCAAAGTACATTATACAGTATTTGAGGAAACAACCTTTTCCCCAAAGCCTCTTCAACAAATGATGTCAGAACTGTCTGGAAAGAAATAGGAGATCAAATGGGATCTCCTTATGTCCTGTCAATCAGGTACACAAGTTGTACTGAGAGCTAATGTATCTCAGTAGAGCTCCTGAGGTGTTTAAATTACACACTTAGAAGACTTTTCCACAGACTGACACATTCCAGTTTTGCACCACTCTCCTGTGTTAAACCTGCCCTCTGTATAGCGAGACGTTCCTGAATCGAAGGCACAGTGGTTTTACCTTTTGAAAAGTTTAAGATTACAGAGGGAATATGGTGTTGTTTTTCTTCTAGGATTTGATGAAAATTATATATGTTGTAACAAACATAAATATAAACATGACAGGGCTGTTCAGTTGTTGCTTGTTGTGAGCTGAGGCTGAATGCGTTCTGATGCATACAGAGGATGTTTGTTTTTCCTGCTGTTCTTCTGGGCTCTCCACATAGAGGCACAGGAAACAATTAAGCTGTTTCTTATCTGACATTGAGGATTTTCTCGATCTGTCAAAACTCTCACTAATTATTCTGGGCTTTTTATAAACCTCTGCCTGCATTGTGTCACTCGCAAGGTGTTTTTTTGACCCCTGTAAGTCCAGAGAGGAAAAGCACACTAAGGTGAAAGCCTGTAAATTGTTTTCTTCAGCTCAAAAGCCCTGCAATGTTGATTCATAGTTGTCTTGTTTGTTGCTTGCTGTTTTTTTAGTTAGTCAATCGATAGCAGTAGACATTAGAATATCACACCATTATTTAAGTAGTTGTTGTCATGATTGGTCATTGGTCATGATGCTACAGTTAAGGTTTTTGTTTGAACATTATAAATACTGTATGTAGCGCTGAGGGTGCCAGCGGGCCATCATCTTTCCTGAATATGTGCACACAGTACACAACTGCAGGTACTTAATATTACAAGTGCAAGTGAAGACTTTGTTAGGCCTGCTTGTGTTTGTATTTTCATCATCGTTGAGGACAGTCACACATGTTGAGAGCAGGATGATATGTAGAAGTGTGAGTTATATAATGCATGTACCATCAGCAGTGATGACAACAGTTGTGCTTCCATGATATGATATTCAACAAGCATCTCTTTTCTTCTGCTATAACCTCATATACTCACACTGCACCTCATCTGCACTTCCATTGCCTCTACTTGACAATCATTTCCCAACCATCACCTGCTAAAATGTGCATTTTTATGCTCTGTAAATTGGTCTAAAAGGGATATCCAGCCTCTACACCGCTATCTTGTTAGATGCCCATTGTGTGAGATAAAATCTGAGAAAATTTGTTTAAGAAAAGGAGCCTAATAGTTTTTGTTTCTGTTAAAATAAATAAATAAAAAGACACCACTCATAATTTGCAGTACATGCAGTTTCTGTGCATAAAGCCAAGGTGTTGACGTGTTTTGTGAAGTACCTTTGACAGCTCATACTGACGTGACCATGTAAACCCCTCTCATATGAATGCCAACCCTTACGTGTCGCTTTGAGACACAAAATGTACTTGACAAAGCACCAATATTTGAAGCCCTGAGATGAGAATGTGTTGCAACATCTGTGCATGATGTTGTTTTTCCATAAAGTGTTCCTTTTAATGAGATCACACTGTATAATTGGCTGAACTGTATTTAGATATATTTGCATATTCATGAAAATTATTGATGTCATCAGATAGAATCATTTTGATTTTTTGTTTTGCCTGGAGAACCAGTGTCTCATCATCATAATTATTACATATTTTTTAAAAAGGTGTTTTTTGAAAATCTTTTTGTACAATCTTTACTTTTCATTTGAGATACGTTTTACATAACATCAACTTAGGTGATGAGGAACACTATTGTTTAACTATGAGTTTGCTTGATATGTGGGACTTAGATTTAAATGTAGATGTTTAATGTAGCATAATATCTACATAATTTAACCCATTTGGAGCTCCATTCACATTCTTCA